AAATTCATGCATGCGTGAATGTCATCTATATAATCAAATCAACATGTCCTTATGTGATGTTACAGCCCAAACTGTAAAGCCAAACACAAGAAAATGTTTCCTGTACTATACAAGGTCATATGTCCAATGGTAAAAGTGATGTATTTGACCTACCTGTTTAGAACAAATATTATTGGATTTGTGTGAGGGACTCAAGAGTAACAAATGTTTTTGTTTGGACCCTTGTATAGCCATTTCAGTGATGCATTGTTACACTGTCTTATGGAAATAGTTGTGAGATATTAAACTTTTATCATGCTTCCATTTTCAAACCTTTGGTTTTTGTCTGTTTAATTACCTTTATGCATCGACAGTTGTGTTCAGTATAGTTTGTATGTGTGTATTTAAGTACTGTGCACTGTACAGTGTATTCGGATAACGCAAGAAACTATAGGTGAGTTGTCTTTAAATTTTTTTATGTTCAGTCTATGGAAGAAATGAGTAGATTTTAGATCCCTTTTTTGTTGGACTTCAGTGCTCTGGGCATGCAACGCTCAGGATACTCCAGTGGTGCTAGTACATAGTGGTTCAAAAGCGTCATCAAGTAGTTAAAGATATTATTGCAAGACAGCGTGTTGGGAGCTGCAGTTCATCCTACGACCGCCAGGTGTGCACTTCAGACGCCATCGTTCTTGTAAGATAGGTCATGGTCGGATATGGGTGTTAGCCCTGTCACACATTCAGGACCTGCCCCTCGAAAACCAGCCGACCTTGAAGCAGTCCTGCTAGATTTAGGCCATGCCTACCTTTCTTTACGAATTTGAGTTAACTTTGAGTCAAATCTAACCCCTGGAGTCTGGACACTGATGATGACTTCCTCCGGATGGTTGGGTGGTGTTCTGCTGACTTACAGCTGAACACCAGCCAACCACATGGCAGAACCTCCCGACCAACAGCCGAAAGTTTTTAAACCTTTTGAAATATTCGGCTTGCGTAGCCGAACAGCAGCCGACCTCACCGAACACCAGCCGACTTCGCAGGAACAAGATGTCCTTGCTCCGACCTTCTCTTAACCATGGTTGGGGGGGGGGGGGGGGTCGTCAGTGTTCAGGGGTGGTTCATAATCGTGAATGAATTAACTTTATTGCTCGACAATCGTACATGGTACAGGTTGTGGCAGTAAGACTAGAATACTACAAAACCAATGTATAATGTCCTTGACGCAACTAAACTAGCTTAAATGAATGTGTGACAGGTTTTGGAACGTCCTAGGTCTCAGACCGTACGTACATGTATAGTTATTTTCGTCTATTTACGTCCGGATGATAACGTATCGGTACCAGGCTCCCGATTCCATCCGTTTACGATTGTTTGACGTTTTACGTAGCATAAGATAACCTGGATGTTGTTTGATATCACCGAACACATGTTCATCTCCCACGAACCCACAGTTAAGGCGAACTTATGAGCGTGGCGCTTGCGTGTAGTAAAACCTGCACAAGTGGTCCTTTATATAGTAAAAATAAATAGAACAGTTAGGCCATGTTGATTTGATTATATGGATGACATCCTCCGGGAGCCCCAAAACTGATGCGCGCGTGCGAATAAAAAAAGTTTTGCAAAAAAAAAAGTTGTTTTCATTATGAGATCTACGTGGTCATGGGGGTTGAGCAAATGGCACAGAATATGGTTTGGCGAATAATCTAGTCTTCAAGTTCATTTCTTTACAATTTCGTCTTTTTTCGTTTTATTTTGGCATTCTACGACATTGGTATGGTTTTTCGTAACTTACGGTATATTTTTGCTCATTTTGCAACTGTTTTGTACGATTTACAGTATGGTTGAAAACTTTTTTTTTTTAAACGGCCGAAAATTCATGCGCGCGCGGATGTCGACGTCATCCATATAATCAAATCAACATGGCCTTACTTTTAAAACCATTGTCCTGCGGTATATCTTTATGGGTTTAATCTAGTCTTCAAGTTCATTTCTTTACAATTTCGTCTTTTTTCGTTTGATTTTGGCATTCCACTACATTGGTATAGTTTTTATTAATTTTTTTTGTAAGTTATGGTATATTTTGCTCATTTTGCAACTGTTTTGTACGATTTACAGTATGGTTGAAAACTTTTTTTTTAAACGGCCGAAAATTCATGCGCGCGCGGATGTCATCCATATAATCAAATCAACATGGCCTTAAGATAACTTTTTTTTCATTGACACAAGTGTTAAGAATCATGTTTGTAGTGAATACTTGTCTACGGTTTTCACGGTCACTTTTGTACCGTGAAACCACCAAGGATCCTTATCAAATCATTTGCCTTTCTTCCCCCTTCCCATCTCCTGCCGTCGTAACATTAAATACCGAGAACGTGTTCATTTTTCTCAGACTGTGAAATTTTGCTACCGTGAAAATCAAATGAATTACAGTATGTAATAGTATCACTGATTGCAATTGGTGTTGAAATACCGGAACTGTCCGGTTTCCGTGAGAAATATTTGAGTACCACGCACCTGTGTCTCCGAGCTGGGTGTACATGTACCTCATTCACTAGTCCTGATCTCAGACGACAAGCACCACCATGAAGCTTCTCCTGCTCTTCGTTTTCGTCGGCATTGCCGCGGTGAGTTGTTTTGCCGTGTGTGTGCGTATGTGCGTGCGTGTGTGTGTATGTGTGCGCACGCGTGTGTGAGTCTGTGTGTGTGCGCGCGCGCGTGTGAGTTTGTGTGTGCGTGTGTGTATGTGTGTGCGAGTGTGTGTGCGCGTGTACGTGTGTTAACTCAAATTCGTTGCATGTGTGTGTGTGTGTATGTGTGTGTGTGTGTGCGCGCGCGTGTGTGTGTATGTGTGCGAGTGTGTATGTGTGCGTGTATGTGTGTGTACAGAACCGAATGAAAGGGTGTGGACTAAAATCCTTTCTATCCTTTCTCCAGGCCAAGATCTGCCAGGATGATTCCGAGTGTGATCCCGATGAGTGCTGCACCCGTGGAAACCTTCTCCTCATCAGGGTAAGGCACAAAACACCGGGTTTACCATCATAACTAGTTTTTCTTTTCAGAAACATGCGACTTAGCAAAGTTTAATACATGATGGGTAAAGCCTTGTTGATTTGATTCTAGTATGGACGACATATCCCTAAAACGTTGGGAGGATGCAAATAAAAAACGTTTGGCAAAAAAAGTTGCCTTCATTATGAAATCTATAGCTACGTTGTCATGAAGGTTGAACAAACGACTAAACACACATATTGTCGAACTAACCTGGTAAATAATTCTCCCTATTTGGGTAGAAATATTACGTCATTTCAGCCCACGTATTGGTAGTGTGGAGATTACACTTTCCTGTGCATCCGCTAGAGGGCGCACGTACAAGAGTACACTGCTGAGTACCTGGCTGACCTACTCCACGACAAAGCACGGCAAATAAACATTTAGACGAGCACAAGGTTCTTTTTTGTATTCATGTATTTGCTGACATCTTTATTGTCTAACTTAGAAGTTAATCGCAAATCATGCTTTACTTCAGCCGTTAAAGGCTGCTACTGTATGCATGATAAGTCTTGAAAAAACATTTTATCGGATTCTGATTTCCCATTCGACTGTCCTCTCCTCTCCAGGAGTGCTTCAAGTACGCCCAGCTTGATGAGGACTGCCACACCGGAGACTACTCTCTAGTCGGCTACTGCCCCTGCGCGGCCGGGCTGTACTGTGAAGACGCCGGGAACAGCGGGTTCGTCGACTTCTTCGCCGGTGACGGGTGGTGCAGGCCCACGCCGGCCGACATGGCCGACCAGATGCCCAACTAAACGTCCACTCAGTCACGGGAGAGATGTTGCCGGGAGGTGGCCTTTGCAAGCTATGCAACATTAAAGAGCAATGAATAGAATCTCATGTGTGCACTTGTGTCTATTTGTAGCAACGTCTTATGTTTTTTAGCGGCAAACATTTCGTTTCATCGCGGACCAAGTCTTCACCTGGTTTTCTTCGAGGTTTTACCCGCCCATATGCCTCCCCTCTCGTGTATAATGTATCACCCCGTCCACATGCCTCCCCTCTCATGTATAATGTACCATCTCGTCGACGCGCCCCCAACACCCCCCTCTCATTCTGAATAATGTATCACCGAGTATACATGCATCCCCTCTCGTGTATAATGTACCACCCCGTCCATCTGCCTCCCCTCTTGTGTATAATGTACCACCCAATCCACATACATTTGGACATCCCCTCTGGTGTATAATGTACCGCCCCGTCCACATGCTTCCCCTCTATTGTATAATGTACGATCCCGTCCATATGCCTCCTCTCTCGTGTATAATGTACCACCCCGTGACCTCTGACCTCTACTGTCATCATGGCCGCCCTCTTGGCGTACGTCGGCGACATTCTCACCAGAAAATGTCGCTTTCCCAACATTAACGCGATCGGACAGCCGTTGTCTGAGCAGCAACTCGAGCGGTTTTGCTTCCAGCACGTGCCCGTGGTCGGTGCCCTGAGCTACAGCGCTTTCTCCACTAACATCCTGGCCTACAAGGCTTTCGATGAGTACGTGCATAATATTCTTTGACCCAAAGCTAAGTCGTCTGCTAAACTTATGTTTACATTTCTGAAAACACAAAGTACAACCTTTTTTTTGTCGTTATAATATTTTAAGAATCTATACGAATGCGGAAATGTCGTATTGTCATGCCTGTTAAATGTCTTTTCGTTGGTCAAAATCCAACCTTTTAAAAACAAGTTGTCCTACTTTTTTGAATGTGACCCACCCGTAAATGGCGTCAGTGCGTCACGCCCATATTAGTTTTGGTTATGTAGACTTGCGACCCCAGTTAAATGCTCTAAGGTACTGCTATGAAAGAATTGTTTCAAACAATGTATAACGTTACTTTTGCTTCGTTCTTTCCACATCTTCAACACCAAAGTTGACTAAGACGACCACTTAGGGGACCGAGGAAAAGTGGTCGTCCTATAGAAGTGGTATTTTTATTTAAAAAATATGGCGACAAGACAAGACAGAGAAGAAAATTGTAGCAAAATTTCCACCCATTTTAGCATTTGCAATAGACTGCTTAACGGTTAGATGGCAGCTTATGATATATACACTCTGAGGTGGTCACTTGGGTTTGACTGTATTGCCATTAAAAGTTTTTCCCTTCCTATTTCAGGTTGTTCACCAGCCGACATCTTGTTGTGGCCAACTGCCTCCTGTTAAACTCCCACCTGGGCATTGGACTGTACCTGTTTAACACTCGTACTATCAGGGTAAGGCCAGGCCTACAAAAAGCTTAAGTAGCTTCACCTACCATTATTTTTACATTATAGACCATGTTGATATGATTATACAGATGACATCTGTGCATGAATTTTCATCCATTTTGACCATACTGTAAATCGTACAAAGCAGCTGCAAAATGAGCCGTTAATGGCAAAAAATATCATTATACATTGCATGTTTTCATATCCAGACTATGGATGTTGTAAAAAATTACTAATAAAAGTTGCTGGATGCACCAACTGCTAAGTACAAGCTCAGAAAAAAACACAAGAAAAAGCCATGCCTAAAAGTACCAGAGTTATTAACCAAGGATTGAGGTGTTAAAAAACTCATTGTTTTCTAGAATTATCGCAGAGTGGAACTCGCTGTTACCAAGTACAGTAGGGACATCATCACTAGATAGCCTTAAACAAATCGTTTGGTGTAATGTAGCCAGCTGCCTGCAAAGCTGGTATGTTGCACCTAACATGAGAGGGGTTATACAGATACAGATACAAAAGTCTTTCCTCTTCTTCCAGGCAGTGAACACGCGCTGGCGGGTGACATGGAGTGTGTACGGCAGTGCTATGTTCAACTTCGGCTCCATCCTGCTGTGGGCGACAGTCAAGGAGATCATCCCAGAGAATGCTGTCCTTAGGGTCGGCTTCGGTGTCTTGTCGAGTGTCTTCTTCCTTATGGTGGGGAAGAAGTACCTAGACCACGTGGACGCAAATTTAAAACTCGCCAAGTCAAAACCAAAGGCAACAGAGCAGAAATGAGCAAAAGCGTTATGTCATGGTACATCGCACACTTTCCTTACAGTACTACATCTTATACTGTCATGAAAGTTCATCTGTGTTAGTTTAAAGTTAAAACTTTTGTTCCAACACAGAGAATTGTTCTCAGGGCTCATCACTCAACTGTGATGGTGGCCAACATCATTTACCAGAAATTGATGTCACACTTCAGAGACAAGTCTCACTGGGTCAGTCTACTGAAAAAGACCAGAGTGACTGTTTCAAAGCTCTAGGTGAGAACCATTCTTTGTGTTGGAACAAAAGTGTTAATTTTTATTTTTAACAAGTACCAAATCTTGTTCTGTCAAAGAGACATCAGAAACGTCAATAGAGACAAACTGTACATCTACATAGTATAGTTGTGTATCTGTATTGAAGAAGCTTAAGCAGTAATGCAATTTATATATATAAAAAAACAACAATACTGCAATAAAAAGTAGCTTGTAAAGTAAAAAATTTAATCAAAGCAATCAGAAAATCAAAAGAAGATATCAGTCCCATGTGTGCCATACTTGTCCACAGCATGTTGTTGCAAAGTGCAATAAAAAGGCTCCTCTATGAATATTGGTGTAATGTAATGTTGAATTTTAATCATGTCCCATACAATAATGTTGGACCTGTCTGAAATATGACATCGCTTTACTGATGTAAAATCTTTCGAGTTATTTCTTGATATAAAAATGTGGCAAGTTCAGACCAAATATGTTACAAATCAGCACTTTGAATCTCTTGAAAAAAAATGTTTTTTAAGCAGCAACTTACAGAATATTGTTAGTTGCTAAATATGCTTGCAATACAAGGAAATTATATGAGTAAGAAGAACCTTGTGAGCAATGATTGTAACATATTGTAGTCATTATAATTAGTTATTCATGGCATGGCTTCAGTGACAAACCAGCAAAGCATGCAGCAGAGTCAAAATGGACTTTCTACTCTGGATACAGAAGGACAATCTTATGTTATGACTCTAGTTCTTGGCATCTGGCTATTTTCTTTGGTTACAGCTATAGGAGCTGGTAGTAAAGGCTTGAGATCACAAGTTATACCTTTTAAGTATCTATGAAATGTTAAGAACGAGGTTGAAATTCCTTTCTCATTTTTGTTTGCCTTAAAGATATCATTGCCTAATGGTCACCATTCAAACTATACTTGTAATGTATCATTTTAGTTTAGTTTATTTTATTTTATTTTGGATTGTTATTTTTAAAACCAATGCCATTCTGTCAATATCCACAGTTTCAAATTGTGTACATGTACTTCGTATGTCAAAACCTAAACCTATATATTGAGAGTAAAATAAGTTGTCCCACTTGCTAACTTAATAAATTCAATTTCCTTGTAGATGACATCATTAAATGATGTACACACCAAAAGATAATGTGTAATTAATGAAATTTAAATTCAGATGGAACTAAAGTCCTTTTGAATATCTTAATTTCAAATACATCTTTTAGATCTGAGCAGCACATGTATCTATCTATAGTCTGTGACATGATACATTCAAATTTATAAAATGACCAGGACATTAACTTTTGCATGACTCTTCTGATCCTACTACTGTTATAGGGGAACATCTACCAAGTTAAGAGAAATACAATATACCAGTGTAACATGCAGAGTATATTTTTGCAGGATTCAAGACTGAAGCATTGTAAATGTCAGTCACAGGATATGAGCAATAAATAAACAAGTACAAGTATATTAGCAGGTGTAAAACTAGTACTGCAAATCAGGGACTTGGTGGACAAACTTGTAAAGTTAGTTGGTTCCATCTACATCTCTACTTCGCGTTCAAGCAATACCAGACACTTTGTATCAATTTGAAAATAAATCATGTACTAGTATGTGATAGAAAATAAAGTTTTTCACCAGTAACCATTTTGTGTGTGTTGTGTTCTTTTGCGTGTTTACTTGTGCTTGAATAGGGCATGGAGTTGGAAGGAACTCCATGAGTATGGATATAGACAAGCCGACTAATGAAGTCCAACACGTTTTTGGAATAAGGAATAGGAATTCGAAGTAGGAATGCATTTCAAAGTGAAAAGCACTATTCAAATGCCTTATGAGGTTCTACTCTGTATTGTGAAGATTTGCGATAGTGAAATTTACCTCATCCACATAGACACCACCATAACGAATCTAGGTAGTCAAATAGCACATATAGGGAGTTAGCACTCACGTGATCATGACATCAGAATTGTCCGCCATGCTGACTGGTTAAATCGCCAGATGTATGTGAATTTCTTTATACACTAACATTTACGACTTTTATTTCGTTATTTTTCTATGTTGCACTTAGTTGTAGTTGGCCTTAATATGTCACTGTGCGTTTTGTTGTGTCACAATCGCTGAGTACAGAGAAGAGACCCGCCATGTCGGTTCATTTTTTTTTTCTGAAAAAAATCTGAGAACCAACAAATTAAATTGGATCATATCCATAGCCAATCATGTAGATGATATTTTTCCAATGACTTCGGAATTTCTCCGCGGAATGATCTTTCTAAAGCATTCTGCGTTGTTGTATCGTCTAATCTCCAAGCAGATCAATGATCATACTGTGGCAAGGCAGTATCCATTTGGCCAGAGGAGTGTCCATTAGCTAGTGAACTTAGTAGGTGTTAAAGTAGCCTTAGAACTTTTCGACTTCTGGCAGATCTTCAGTGGCTCCTCTGGCCAATGGATACTGTCTTGCCACCGTGTGATCTGCGTGGAGATTAGTATCATCTACACCTCCAAAAGTTGTTCATCTCCATCTGTAAGACATTGCTGCTTTTTTGGAGCAGTTTCTTTGCACGCCACCGTCAGCTTTTTGACCACCAGCAGTGCGTTTAAGACTACCAGAACACACACGATTCTGCCGCTTAAAGCGGACTGTTGGTAGAGAGAGGCCGCCCACAGTTGGATCGGGATGTGCGCCGCGAAGGTCCAGCGGAACTTCTGCAGGAAGGCGAGCTCGGTGTACGCGGTGGCCAGCACGCAGGCAGCGAGGAGAGCCAGCTGAAGCGGCGGCAGGACGGCCGGACCGAGCCCGAGGACCTGTGAGAACAGCCCGATGGCCAGCTCAGCCGTCTGCACGTAGTTCCAGCTCAACCTGCATGGAGGGATGAAGACTGTTATTGTACGAGAAGGAGGAGAAGGAGAAAATGAGCAGCACGCACGCATCAAGGAGAGACAGGGGAAGCGACGGCAGGGAAAATGAGTATTGTATTGTCCCCTGTGTTGGTGGCGGCATTAATATAAGTCGAAGAAACTGTGCCATCACCACGTGTTGAGACTACATGTTGGAATATTAAAAAAAAACCTGTAGGCTGCGCAGTTCTCGACCATCAGCGCGAAACACAGGCGGTGGCGCCCGGACATCGGCACCGCTTGGCTCTCCCGCAGGCCGTGCACCAGGAACAGCAGCGAGAACAGCAAGCCCTGATTCAGCACCTGCATGGGCCGTAGGAAAATAGCACGCTCAAACCGAGGATGTCAGGCGATATTCTAGTACGCTTACTTTTAAAACTATTGTCCTGCGGTATCCATATCTATATGGGTTTCACATACAGTACAAGCTATATAGCACCCTGTATATGCACGATTTGGGGGTATTTCTGGTGCAACGCATCACACTGCAGCAAAGTGACAAAACGAATGCAGAAGTAACTATGCCACCACACAGCAACAAAAGTCGAGGGTTTATGACCTGATTAAGACAGGAAATTATTAGAACATATTGTGTAAAAAAAAGCCAGTGTAAAAAAAGCCATCAGGGGTTTTTCAAATATATTAACAAGAAACTACCTCTACTGCGCAATTAACGCAATTGTGGCGTCTGCCCTCGAGATGTGTTACGGCTGGTGTGCCATTAACGCTAGCAGGTGTGCAAATCTGACGTTTATGCGAATTAGATTAAGGAAAAACTGAAAAAGATGTGACATAATACAGTATGACTACAATCATGTGACAATAGAACATATTGAGAACTGTTTTGGAAATGTGGATCGTGACATTATGTGGATAATCTAGAATTACGAAAAATATCTGAAAATTAATGGAGCGGAACGAGCTAGGGGCTTCGACTTCGCAGAAGTGGACGGATACAGATTTAGGTTAAGGGACAGTGTAACATCTCTCTACGTTTAATGAATGGATTAAGACCTTAATTGTATATTTTTGCCGCACTGGGCTAGGCACAGCCCACAAGATTACAATCAAATACATATACATGTACATATACATGGCAAATACATATACATATAACTGTTACATGTATATATAAACGTCTAACTTAGTATATTCTAGTCTTTTCAACTTCCTCTCGCTTCTTAGTGAATGTGTGAATGTATGAGGCTGTGTGAGAAGTTAGATTTGGTTTATCAAAGGCTAACAGGAATATAGATTTTTCTTACTGACTCGTGAAGTACATATACATGTATCTGAAGTGGGGAAATTTACTAAAAACAGACCGAAAAGGTATGCGTCTATCACTGCCATATAATGCTGAGGTCACATTTCCAAACCGGGGCCCGGCCGGGCGGTCGTATAGAACGAAATTACATATACCTTGATAACGAGCACAGCCGCGCGGTTGAACGGGAAGAACGCTATGGGGCCCTCGGCCAGCTCGCTCAGACACAGCATGGTCAGGAGCCGCCCCAGGTCCCGGCCGCGCCCGCCCCACAGGCCGCCCTGGGTCGCCTCGTACCAGTACAGCAGGGAAACCACCCGCCACATCACGCACAGAACGTGCGGGACACTGAGCAGGTTCAGGCTCAGAGCGACGTCGGACTCAGCGGCCATCTGTGAAAATTCGGAAAGGAGCGCTGTGTAAAATATAGGGTAATGGCGCGCACTTTGTCCACTGTTGCACGGTGTGGTCCAATTTTCCGCGATCACAGCAACCAAAAACAAAGGAGATGTTTTATTTTCATATTCAACCTCATTGGCGGGACATTGCGTACGGGGCACTACCAATCAGCGCTCAGCATTTAGTGTGTCCAGTATACTACCAATCACACGGTTCAGCATTTATGGCAACGATATGTGGAGAGACCGGTTCACCTAGGTTCGAAGGTTCACCCTACTTATTAATAGGCCGCTCTAGGCTTAATGAGGCCATGTGTCGTAAAGGAGGCCCAAAGATATTTTTTTATTCACCCGCGCGCACTAGAGTTTGGGGTTCTTCAGAGGGTGTCATCCATATAATCAAGTCGGTGTGGCCTAAGAGAACTTCATAATTAGCGAACTCTCGCAATTAGTG